AATTTTCATCCCTTTCTATGTCAACACTTGGGAGATCGGATTCCAAAACAGTAACGCAGATAGCAATTTCCTCATGCACTGATATGTACCAATTTAAGTCTTCATTGTCGCGTATTTCGACCGAAGATATATTCAAGTTATGGACTTTGAACTTCAATTCAATTTGAGTGCGGGGATCAACAATACCAAGTTTGTCCTTCAACCTTAACAAAAGTTCGGCTACGGTAATACTTGTCGGCACCAAAGTAGAAGTGGTATTGTCCCCTCTCCATTGTCATTCGCCATTCGTATGAACAAACTTTTCCCATGCGACACGATAAATCTCAAATGATTACCCATACCTGAAATGTTAGGATTGCACCTATCAGAATTCAGAATCAATATGTTGGCATTTAATAGCATGAAAGTCGCACAACATAATACATAAATTCGTACAATAGCAAAAGGGCAAATCAAGAGTTTTCATCGTTTTACATTGTCCAAATTGATAGTAAAACTGTATATCCTGACAAAATGTCGGGTTCGACATTTCAAACATCTAACTAACAATTTGTAAATGTCAAATTCGACAGTTGAACTGTCAAAAATGTCAGGAAGCAAATGGCAGTGGGTGGAACTCAGGCTTCTTCAGCGCAACACATTAAGTTTGATCATTACTATTGAGCTACCAAATGACAAAATGAAAATGTTAGATTGGCCTTGTCATTAAAGAGGCATTTAATGAAAATAGTATTTGGTTTAAATGGAAGAAATTATTCAAAATCTTAATGATGATAATAACATTTTGTGAAGGACTCTAAAACGAAACAAACCAATGCATAGTAGTTTCAAAAATTTCAAATAAATATGTCCACATTATATTTAACATTTACAAACCGATGAGCTATGAGAGTAAAATATAAATGATTTGTAGTTGCTAACCTCTCAAAATGGATGAAGAATGCAACAGAAATGTCTTATTGATCAATGAAAATGAAGAAGATGGAGAAAAGTTAGGGTTTATAGTTTATGTGTCATTTTTAAATTTCTTTTGCCCTTTTTTATTAACAAAAATTCATATTAATTAATAAAATACAAATTTATCTATGTTTTGTATATAGAAATTAAATCATCACATCAAGCCAATGCTTTTCCTACAAATCAGTCGTTAAATGCTACTAAAAATGTTTCATTAAGGGTATTTTTGACTTTTCACCTCAAAAAAGTGACATTTTTGCTCAATGACAAATTTTTTGAGACTTTCATTTTTTATGACATTTTTGTAAATTCTTAAAAATAAACTAAGAATATATGTTGAGTTCGAATTCCCCTCCCTCCACGATAAAATATCTTAAATCCTTGATGAGTGATTTTTTTACAGCACAATTGGCTAAGCGTCATTTTGATAAGACATTCTTTTTAGAATTAGGAGAGACGTCAAGCAGATGAAAAAGTAATTTACATGGATAAGACCGTCTTTTTAGAATTAGGAGAGACGTCCAGATGAAAAAGTAATTTACATGGATAAGACCGTCTTTTTAGAATTAGGAGAGACGTCAAGCAGCTGAAGAAGTAAATTACATGGAACGTAATATCATTATCTCGTCAGCAGAGACAATTTGGGAGGGGAGGACGGCCGAACCAGTCCCAACCCAAGTCCAAGTTCTTTGGGATTTTTTAGTTTTTTTCTTTGAACTAGCCCGATTAAATATTCAGTTAGCCCAATTTTGTTCCAGTCCAGCCAAAGTCCAAAGTCCAAAGTCTAAATTCTTTATATTTTCTTTGTACAGCCCAATTTTTTAAAACCCAATTGCTAATTGCTACAGTTTTCTTTTTTTTTTTTTTTTAAAAGAAACTTAATAACCCAACGGCCCAACCTAAAACTCAAATCCCAATGGCATTAGTTTATAGTTTAACCCTCATAATTGGCTGAAAATTTCTCTCGTCTTTCTACATCTCTACGGGCCCCGCCGGCACTCTTTATTCAAGATTTGTCTCCTTCACTCTTTGTCTCTACAAAGTATAAAGTATAAATTTTCTTCTTGTTAGTTGTTCTATTTTAAATTTTTGCAATATACCTTAAGGCTTAAGTTGGGCAATGGGCTAAGAAATTGAAATTGAAATTGAAATTGGAGAGTGGAGGGTTTTTTCATTTGTGAATTAATTTTAAATTTTTCGAATGAAACGTTTTGCTAAATTTTAATTTTATTTGTTTTATTTAAGGAGAGTTAACTTTCTATGTTTTATGTATAATCTTTAGAAAAAAATAAATTATTCTTTAATTTTTTTTGTTTTTCATTTTACTCTGTCAATGGAGAATTTCCAAATTTATGAATATGTTGATTGATGATTGATTATGTGTCCCCGCCCCCCGCCCGCCCTTGTATAGTAGGAGAAGGACCTTTTCAAACTGTGCAAGATAAAAATATTTTCCTTTCAAATTTTCAATTTAAAAAACTTTACTATATATCTAACATATTATAAATAACTCAATACAAGAAAAGTAGTTCAATTTGACCAAGTAAAAGTGGACCCATGTGAAGATTTTGCGTTATACTATTGTTGCCTTGTCTCAAATTTTTTCTGTCTCCTATTTTTAGCTCTTACAAATGGAAGATCAACATTCATCGAAGAGAGTAAAGACACTATTTTCATTCTTTAAAAAGACTAGTTAATCTAGTGAAAGTATATTTTTTTTTTTTTTTTTTTGAAAGAGGGTAATTTTTCTGCCTGTTCGGGATTGGTTACCAAAGGATATAATAAATGGAAGAGGGTGAAAGATGGAAATAAATGTGCATTTCTTGTTCATGCTAATTCAGCATATCATAAACTATGTGAGACAAGAGCTAAAGATTTAATCAGACCGTCTCAGCATATTGACAAGGTAATTAATAGTGTATCGGAAGAGGAAATTCAAAAACGTCGTTTGCGTATAATGACTTCAATTAAAAGTGTTCCATGGCTAGCATTTCAAGGTTTAGGGTTCAGAGATAATGATGAATCTCCATCTTCACATAATCGTGGGAATTTTATACAACTAATAAAGTACGCAACAGATTTGAATCCAGATGTTAGTAAAGTTGTTTTGGAAAATGCACCACAAAATGTCCAATACATTGCTCCAACCTTTCAAAAAGAAATTTTGCATATTATGGCCAATAGAGTACGACAGATAATTCCATGGGAAGTTGTGGATGAATGCTTTTGCATTCTTGTTGATGAAGCACAAGATGCATCTAATCAAGAGCAAATGGCCATTATCTTGAGGTTTGTGAATAGTCACGATAGTTTGATAGAACGTTTCTTTGCAATCAAAAGAGTCGGTGATACTACTTCATAGAATCTCAAAAATGAAATATGTGATGTTCTTGCTCAATATGAACTTCGGATAAACAAAATGAGAGGATAATGGTATGATGGCGCTAGTAACATGCGAGATGCTTGGAATGGACTTCAAGCATTGTTTGTTAGAGATTGTACATATGCATACTATATCCATTGTTTTGTCCATCGATTACAGTTAACATTGGTCGTGGCAGCTAAAGAAGTCCATGTCATTTGGAACTTCTTTTCTCATTTGGACAAGATTGTCAATATTGTTACTTCTTCTCCTAAACGAGTTACTGAGTTGCAATTTTCTCATAGAGAGAAAATTCAAGGAATGTTGGCTATCAGGAAGCGCAAATCTGGAAGTGGGGATAATCAAATGGTTAATTTACAACGATTGGGAGCTACACGTTGGAGCTCACATTACAACTCTATAAAGAACCTGATAGATATGTATGGTGCAACCCGCAAAGTGCTTCAATATATTTGTGATCATTGTTTGAATGGCAGATCTCAGGCTGAAACTCGTGGTGCTTGCAAAAAGTTGGTGAGTTTTAAGTTCATATTTATCTTTCATTTGATGTATAGAATAATGAGGATCGGTGATGTTCTTTGTCAAGCCCTTCAAAGAAGATCCCAAGACATCTTGGCTGCTTTGAGATCTGTGTCTACCACTAAATAATTGCTTCAAAAATTGAGAGAACGATTGGGAAGAATTTCGTCAAGAAGTAAAATCCTTTTGCTCAAAGAATAATATTACAATATCCGATCTAGAAAGTTTGTATAACACTGGCCGTTCTAGTGATGAAACTACAATTGACATTATAATCACTATAATGTTTTTAGTGAAGCAATAGATTTTGTAATGATGGAGTTAAATACAAGATTTAATGACATATCAGTAGAACTCCTTTCTCTCAGTGCAGCTTTGGATCCTAAAGATTCATTAAGATAGTTTGACATTCGAAAAATTTGCACACTTACTGGGAAATTCTACCCTCAAGATTTTTCGAAGCAAGATATTATTACATTGGAATATGAGTTGCCACATTACGAGTTAGATATGAAGGGTGAGTCTCGATTTCAAGTATCTACACTTGCTGAGTTATGCAAATAGTTGATTGAGAGTGGAAGGTCGGATATTTACATTATGATGACTAGATTGATTCGTCTTGTATTGACATTATCTGTTTCTACCGAAAGTACTGAACGAGCATTTTCAACGATGAAACATGTGAAGACGACACTTTGCAACAAAATAGAGGATGATTTTCTTTCTGATTGTATGATACTTTTTATAGAAAGAGAACTTGCTGAAAAATAGATCTAGATTCTCTTATAGATGAGTATTATGTTTCAAATCCTCGTCGGGAACGACTTAAATAAATAATGTTCTTTAACAAGAATTTTTAGTACGTATAAATTTTATTACATTTGCTTTATCAAGTACTTCCAGTCCCCCCTATGAAAAATCCTGTATCCATCCCTACTCATCAGGATCCTTGCCATGCAACCTTCAGTCTTCTTAGAAGAAATTCAGAGGACAACTTTTTGGCATCGAGTTGATCTACGGACTTTCTATTCTTTTGGGTGCTGGGCTTATTCTGATTTATGAAATTGAGATTACTTATTATGAAAATAACAAGAGTCATTTTCATTAAAGAAGTCGATTTAAAAAGAAAAAATAATAAAGATGAACCAAGATAATAAAGTTTTGCAGCAAATATAGCACTTGAAAATCAAAGACAATAGAAACATTGCATTCTTTACATCAACTGTATAACATAAACTTGTAGGTTAACAGATCATAAACGAGGCTGAAGCTCGTCTACAAAACTGAAGGCAGAGTATCTGAGTCTTCACTTCAGTCCCTCGCTTAACCCTTGTGGCATTCCTAAGCTTTGGGCGAGATTGCTCATTCTTTCTTTCATAGCCTGAGCAATTCAGAAACACTAAGAACAGAATTCATGGAAGAAGATACGTCCAGCTGAACTTAAAAGAGGGAGATTCTCACCAGAACACTCTTCTGGTGCGCGTCCTTGTATGCCTCATTGACCAGAAGAGAGAGTTTCTGCATCAGTGAACGTGCGAATTCTGATCATTAGAGAAGGCAATGCAGTAGCAAAGTTTCTTGCTACACGGGGATTTTTAATAATTGCAGTAGAATCTTATCAATTTGAAAGATTTCAAGGTTTTTGGTGGGGGATTCTCAGAATGGATTAAACTAAGCTTCCTCATGTTCAATCCAGAGAAGGTTCAAATCTTTTCAGTTGTTACTTCCATTCTCATTCATGTGTCATTATATCTTGAAAAGATTATGTGCTCCTATTGTAATTCTGGAGGGGTGATTCATCATCCTCCCTTTTCTACCGTCTTTTCTAATTAAATCAACAGGAGATCAGTCAAGCTTCCACCTAAGCACATAAGTGAATTTAAACTGAAAATGACGAACTAATTTCTTGGTAAGAGATGGTGGAAAAGGTCTGGGAACATTACCATCTGGCAACACGCTATTACTGGTTTGGTTTCTCAACGTTAAGACATTTACTGACCCTGAATTTGTTGGCACAGAAAGTTTCATGTGATGGCATATAGTGGAACCCTTTCATACTATGCAAAAAAATATAAGTATCTTTTCATGTTATTATCATAACAGCTCTGATAATCGTAGTGATTAAAAATTCTAAATGCCATCGTGATAAATAACAAGATGCATTGCCGTAAGAGCATCGAAAAGAGAATTTTGTGTGAGGGGGAAATGAGAGATTTTGTTTCACCACAGAAAATTATTTGATTCTAAGCCTCCCACTGGGGGGCCCGCTATGCCAAAAGCGAGAGAAACCTCATCCCTCTCTTTCCTTTTTTGGCCCCATGGGCCGTAATTTAATAGCAAGACATAAAAAATGCACCTCAAATTTAAATCAACTTACTTCAGGTCCCAGTTCCATTGCAGCCTCAGTTATCTCAATCCGTACAGGTTGTTGGTTCCCAGAAAGTGTTGCCTAGAGAATAATTCAATCAACGATAATTAATGTGTAAATGTCAAAGTCAAAAACTGCAAGACCTCGAGAGAACATGATTTTTCCGTACTACAAAGTTGATAATTAAAGGATGCAAGACCTTATATCGGGGGGGGGGGGGGGGGGGGGCCCGCCGGGGGGGGGGGGGGGGGGCGCCCCCCCCCCCCGAAAGAGAATTTTGATTTCTCTGCATGTATTGAAGGGTATATTTGACATTTCGAAAACCAATATCGGATGAATGAGANNGGGGACTCCGCTTATGAAAAAAATAATAATAATTTCTACAAATAGCACTGAGTAAGTATCGTGTTTTGTCTTCAATAAGTATAATGGAGAACACTTGTCATTCTATTGTTTCATGAATTTACTTGCAGTGGATAGGAACGTAGCAATATATTTCAACTAACATTTAAGTGTCTGATTTGACAATATCAAGAATGAAAATTAATGTTGAAAATTTACCTTTATTAATTCACCTCCGCAGTAACCATCAAACTCTGCTCTGCAAATTTAAAAACAATAGAAAAACACAATAATCACGTCAATAATAAAAGTTTAAAAAAATCCACACAACAAAAGAAAATAAAGATAAGGAAGAGTCGATGTGGTGGACCATACGCAGCAAGTTCTTTCTGTACACGTACTGCCTCCACTTGGACAACCGTTTGTGCCTTCTTTACAGTCTCGTAGAGGTTATGCATGTTTCCTAATATTCCAGCCTATTTTCACCACAGCTAAAATTATACAATTAGAGCAGCAGCAGGAAATAAAGTTTGACCAGTAAAAGAATAACTTGGGGATTGCAAAAAGTAAAAACCATTACCCTCAGATCAAAATGAGTGATTCTTTTAATTAAGATTATTGATTATTAATTGACAAACTGCTCATCATAATTTTCTTTTTATAATGTAAGCTCCATTAATCAAACCCACAAAGAGGTAAAAACAGGTAACCCCATGTACAAGGTGTATTGCCAGTTGTACAGGACCAATAAATCATGTGATTGGTTGATGTCCAAAAAATCTATATCATCAGCACAAGTGAGGATAGATCAGAAACAGAGAAATGAAAAGAAAAGTGAAGTGCTATTCAGCTTACCCAATATGTTTGAGATCTCTCCTTCAATAAGCAGCCATGGGTAATATTTAAAAACGCCCACCTGCCCCACCCACCCAACCGAAAGGTAAAAAGGAATAAAGGGAAAATGCATACGCACACGTGCATGTGTCCCCCTATATATCTTAAGCTAGTCCCAACCCAAAATATCAGCAGCTCCTGTTAAAAAGAATGGTGGGCTGTCGTACAGCTTACCACTAACATAATCACAACCAATATCAAAAATCATGCTTCAATACTTGCTCAGTTATTTAGCCTTACTGTGTTAAACTTACAGGGAAGATATCTAAAACTTAAGTATTTTTGAAATATGACTTCAAGAAGGCTGAAGACAGAAGTTAATGAGCGATACAACTGAAAAGCATTCAATGTATTGCATATATTGACAACTCAATCTATAAAAAATAAAAATAAAAATCATGGTAGGATGTTCAAGGATGGACGACTTAAAAAATAAGAATGAAGACAGAAAGCCATCAGTCAAAATACATTTTCATCTAGGAGTAAATTTTATTTCAAGGAGTGCCTAAGACATGCCTTTGAAGAACCATCATCACTCTTATCATTGTTATCCTTTTTTCCACCAAATAGACCATGTACACGAAGAGATCTTCTAGCCTTCCCAGTTTGACTTCTTCGGCATGACAAACTTGGAATAGCAATGGGATTGACGCTCTGATTCAATTTACCTAAAACACAAGAAAAGAAAGTGAGAAATGTTCACCTCAGAAACACAACGTAAATATCGCTAAGTTCATTAAACAGCTTAAAATACTAAGGATCACAAACTATACCAATGAGCCTACCATGCATGAGACTGCAGGCAAAAAGTGATGAGGACATCGGATGACATTTACTTATTTTATTTAAGCTTTATTTATTTTCTTGGACTATTATTTAAATTTGGACTTGTATGGGCTCAGGCCGAAGCTCGTTAGGGTTGCTTTACTATTTAAACCTATTTTGCATTGTAATTTTGACGATGATGAATTCGAATTGAAATATTTTTTGGTGGCTTGCAGCCATTTTCTCCCTCCCCTCTCTTCCTCTGGTTTCTTCTCCTCTTATCCCTTCTCTCTGTTTCTCCTCCCCGTTCCTTCTTCTTTCTTTCTTATTCATCCTACATCAAATTTGGTATCAGAGTCGAACCATGGGTAATTTCTTTTCTTTAATCCAAAATTTATTCATATTTCCTTCCCAAAATCTGTTGGAACAGCACGAACTAAAAGAATATTTGGTACAGGCAGCAATTTTTTTCTTCTTCAATTTTCAGTCTTAGTTGAAAAAAAAAAAAGTTACTGTTCACGCAAAAAAAAAATCTCGTTTTTTTTATGCTGCTGCTACTGCTCATAAATAAAAAAAATTGTGGCATTGTTCCACAAATCCCAAACCCTAACATTCAAGCCCACTTAGCCCTTCAGCCCATATATTCCATCTCTATAACCAAGTCCATTCATTAATTTTATTTATCAAAACACTTGGGTCATAAGCTAGTGGCCCAAATTACTTTCAAAGCCCACTAACACACAACTTACCTCTCATCATCTATTTAACCAATCCACTCGCTTTTCAACCCAATAAACACCAAATCCAAACCACTTATCACATATTATCACAACCGGCCCAACACCATTCAACCCATAACCGGTCCCAAATTCGCTCGGCCCATAACCCTAGCCCATTATATACAATACTTAACCTAGCCCACATCTACAATACCCAATCAACTCAAGCCCTAAACTCCTCCTTCCCCGTCGATATCCCACAGTCACCACACTTTCTGCGACCGCCCTTACCGACAATCGCCAGCAATCCACTGCCACGCTAGTTGTCACCCACCACCCGGAGTTCAGTTTTCGCGTCGGTGGACTTCTTCTGAGTTCAGAGTGCCAGGGACATTTGTTGAATTGGATTTGGCCTATTATTTGCATTGGGGTAGCTTGTTAAAACTCTTGAGTATTAGTGTTCCATTCAGTGACTCGACTACTTAGGAGTATTTCATTATAATTTTCTACTGGACACGTGCCAACTGGGAAATCATAATTGGGCACAGTTCT